AAGGGGTTTTTCCTTTTGGGGCCCCCGGGAAGGCCCCTCCAGGGGAGAGGGGCCTTGTCCCACCCGGGGGGGGGCGGGGGGGAAAGGGAGAAACTTGGTGGGGGTTTTGGGGGGGGTGGGGGGGCCCCCGGAGGTGGTGCCCCCTTCCCAGGAACGGTTAGGCGGGGGAGCCGGGGGGGGGGTTCCCCGGGGGGGCGGGGGGCCCTTTTTCGGCCCGGGGGTCTTGGGGGGGGTGGTTTTTTTGGTTCTGGAGTGGTTCCAGGGGGGGTTGTTTTTCCATTTGAAAGGCCGTTGTTTTTTTTTTTCGGGAATTGGTTTGGTTGTTCCAGGGGGAGAACCGGGGGGGGGGGGGGGGGGGGTGTACTCATAGTCGTGCATGCCGTAGTCGTTTGACCATTGACCTCGCATCCCTACAAAGCCGGGACGGAGCACGCCGGGTTCTCACCGGACCAGGCTCTCACATCACCAAGCGCGAAGCGCCGTGAGGTATTTGGCGAGTCGCATGAAGGGTGAGCTGCATCCTGCTAAGGGTGTTCGGCATCTTGTGCTTACTTCCTTGCGCACGGATGACAGCTACGTATGACTTAATTTATTTTCTGGTGCTTTCACTTCCAGAGACAGTTGTAAGCACTGTGTAACTGCCTCGAGGAAGCTTGACCATTTTAACACAACGTGGTGCGATCATCCCCCGTTGCGCGGAGTGAGGTTTCTCGACCCCGCACAACATGATCTACTCGACCACCATTATGGTTACCGCCAAAAAAAAACCCAGAGGTAAAAAAAAAACGGTAACCTGGTTGCCAGAGTTCACGAAGTGAATTGGCTTGTTTTACAACGTCGTTGCCAATCGACGAAAACCCAATCCCGATGGCCAAACATCGAGTGGGGGGCTTGTTTTACAACGTCGTTGCCAAGCGACGAAAACCCAAACCCCGAGGGGGGGGGGGGGGGGGGGGGTGGACCATGTGCTCATGTTCCGTCATCTGGTGTTAGATTCTTCTAGATCCCCCATTCCTCCACCTTTTCCTCTTGTTGATACCGCCGTTGTACCCTGTCCCGATTCACGCACCTTGCTTGCTCACTCAGACGCTGCAGCTGACTATTAATAGTACTCATCACTTATTGCCAACTCCAACGGTACAGCAGGCAACAGGGAGCGGTGCCGTGCGGCGTTTTGTACTATCACACGCAACACAGAAAACACGTGCGTGCGATGCATCCCGCGATGAGACTTACGTCCTCTCCATGTGCAGCCGGTTAGCGCGGTCTTTGTCAAAATCAACAGAAAGTAAATATAAATATACCCACCCCAGGTGTTCACCAATAGAAGCGTCTCCTGTGTCATTGGTCAGCCTATAGTTGACGCGATCGGCGCTACCATCAAATACACACACAACACACGGACTTACAGGAGTTTTTCTGATTTCAATCTTCACCGAGGCGGTCGCGATCCAAACAACGAAAAGACACACAGGGTGGTAAACGCTCACTCTGCGGGGGGTGGTGAAGGAGGCCAGGCGCGGGTTGATCTGGCCGACGCTCTGACGCTCCTGCCTCCTCCTGGCGAACCTCAACAGGGTGTCCTTCGCGCGGTCTTCGATAAACTGGGACAGGCGGTCGCTCTCGTCCATGATTTCCTTCCGCGTTGGAAGATTGGAGAAACCGTGGGTTTTCGGTGGAGGTGCAAAAACAGCAACAACAACTCACAATGGTTTGATGGTTGAATGAAGACAGGAGGTCGCTGTCGTGCACGATTTTCTTCACGTTGAAAGCGTGGGTTTGGTGGGGGTGCAAAACACAAACAACAACAACAACAGCAGCCATCACAATGGTTTGATGGTTGGTTGAAGTGGGCCAGGCGGTTGTTCTCATCCATCATTCCCTTCGTGTTCATTCAAAGCACGGGATTCGGTGGGGGTGCAAACAACAACAACAACAACAACAACAACAATCACACTGGTTGGCTGGGTACTCTTGAGGCTGACCTTCTACTCTCGATCCATGACTTCAGTTGTCTTTTAAAGCGTGGGTTTGCGGTGGTGTACTTGTGAAACAACCAAATTGTCACAACGGTTAATGGTTGTGTACTCTGGGTAGACGGGATCAACATAAAACAACCTATCGCCTCGCCCACAGGCGATTGGGATGTTTTCGCATGGTCACCACAACACCGATCATCACCGCAAACACTACTTGGGCACGAGTATCACGAGTAGTTGCGCGAATGCAAGAACACCACAACAAAAGTCTTTCGGTGGGGAACGGGGGATGACGACAAATCTTTAGAACGCAGAGGAGAAAAAAAAAACGCGGGAATGTCTCTCTGACCATGCAGTACCTACACAGCTTGTTTGCTGACCTCCATGCATGGTCTTCTCTGTGATGAGATAAAACAAAGACAGCCAACCAACGGTTCGGACAATACTTCCACCGACGCGGAAACAATTACAACACCATTTAGTCTTTGGGGGCTCTGTGCTCACCTCTTGGATTATCTCCTCTATGATGTCCTCCAGGGTGATGATGCCCATGGGCCTCGCGGCCCCCTCCAGCGGCACACCACGCTTCAGAGACTCGAGAGTGATGGCTGGGGATGAGCTACAAGGGGAAGGAGGAGAAGAGCCGGCAGACATGTGCATATATGTGCATATTTACGGGTGTGTGGGGTGGGAGAAGGGCAAAAAAAAAAAAAAAGTTGGTTCGTGCGGAGACTTCGCGTGAGAACCACGGACATTCATCAACACAAAACGCGGAGGAGGATGATCAACTAACCTGGGCTGCAGTATAGGCCGACCATGGCATCAACATGAAAATGAAAGAACACCATGCACCCGACAAGGACGAGAGAAGAATTGCCCATCTCAAGGGTAATCGTTCACGGGACCCGTACCACACCGCCGTATACGACACGAGACGGACCTGACGAGGGCGAGGTGGAGACTTTCCCTTCTGGAAGGTGACCTCTTCACTGCACGCATATGCAGACCACACCGTACACGGGCACGGAACATACCGGACGATACCGCGACTTTCCTCAAACCGACTGTTACCACACACCGTGTACGACACGGAACATATCTACCTGACAAGGGCGAGGTGAGACTTTCCAGTCTGGAAGGTGTTGAGCAGCTCGAGCAGGCTCTTCTTGGGGGAAACCACCACGGGCACGCGCAGCATGAGCGAGCTGATGACGCGCTCGTCGTCCGGGTTGAGCACGATCAGCTTCTTCACCTGAAGGGAGTTGGTTGGGTTGCAGAGATGTGAAAAAACGTAGATGCATGTGGTAGAGTTGACCTTTTGCTTCAAGGAACGGGTCACACCTGGCCAACGTCGTTGGACGACGAGTCCCTCTTCTTACAAATGGCTGTATGTGTTTCTCTTTTGTCATCGGAGTCACAACTCAGCAGAGCGACTTCGACTGATTGCCTGGGTTGAGAACAAACCACTCCTTCAATTGATCGCAGAGTCCCTCTTCTTACAAATGGCTGTATGTGCTTCTCTTTTGCCATCGAAGTCACAACTCAGCAGGGCGACTTCGACTGATGTGACTGATGGCCTGGCTTGAGAACAAACCACTCCTTCAATTGATCGCAGCAGAGACGGCTTCTCCAGAAATTCCCTGCGGTGGAAGCATGGAGAAAACGTCGGTGGGCCGTTCCACCGTGGAGATATTCACCAACCCGCAAAAATCCGAAACGGGGATCAAAACACAAGACTATCAACGCCGCCGTAGCCTCCAACAACTGAAGAAAACACAGCCTAACAATATAACCGCAGCAGCAGCAGCAGCAGTAGCAGCAGCAGCAGCAGCAGCAACGAGACACACCTGCAGATAGCCGCGGATGTTCCTGGTGTCCTCCCCCTCGTACACGAGGACGCGGCTGTAGCCGGCCGCCATGACATCGGCCATGGTGTTCGCATCCAGCTTCTCGTTGATACCCAGGCAGAAAACCTGCCCCCCCCCCCGCCGGAACAAGCACCCAAAAAACGGTGGAATGTCTCGTCTGAGACGAGGACGACCGACCGCTGCAGGGCAAGAGTTACGTCCGCCTATTCTACCATTTCGTGGCTCCAGGATTTATATCCTACTTGCTCTTTACCGTTGACCGCAGCCTCTACTTTGCCCTTTCCTCTAAGGATCGCGTCACGCCTTTCTGGCAATAGACGGAACTCCCGCAAGCGAAACGGACAACCGAAGAGACCATTAGCCGCCCCCTCCCCTCCCCAACCTTGGTTGAATTGTAGAGTTCGTGTCTTCCAAAAGGCGGGAAGCAGAGAGCGCGAAGGAAACAAGGGTAAAGCTGCACCATTCGCTCTCTTCACCAATACAGTACGTCTACATCCCACAACAGAATCGCGCCGCACACAAAAAAAGACGAAAGCGTTCGGACCACAAGGGCCGACGACCCCCCCCCCCCCCCCC